CAACAAAAGAGTACGAACAGATGTATCTGCATCTGTAAATAAGCGGATGAGTCGATGAGTATAAATAATTGGGAATAAGAGCGAGCTTGTAAAAACAGAAAAGGGTTTTAGTGGCTCGGACCAAACTAATGTATGCACTAAAGCTGCCCAAGCTGCTGTTTATATAAAACAGGAAGAAGCTGCTGCCACTGGCACTTTATTTTGGTATATATTAAAAAAAAAAAAAAAACTAAAAGCGGTTGCAGCTTGGGGGTTTTTCTGACTGAAACTCAGTACTGAAGTGCTGGATTTGATTTGCTCCTGTTTCTGTTGAAATCATTTGGACTCTTCATGGATTCTTAGTTTAGTGTTTTAATATTATTTGAATATGAAGCTGTCTGTGCTGTGATTTTTGTTTTTGTGTGTTTGGATGTTGTACATTTTGTTTTAAAAAATCGATCTATTTTATTTGGAAGTTTTATAACCTGAATATGCTGGTGTGACCCACAGTTGCTTCTTTAAGCTTCTGATCATTACAGATTAGTTGGATAATGTCTTCCCTAAAAGCTAAATTAAACGGGGTTTAGTTCAGGTTATAATGTAGAGGCTTTATAACTGTATATCCATAGGTTTGTTTAATATATATCGTTTTGGATGTTTGATGTGCGATTGTGTTTTACAGCCTTTTGTCCGACACACTGCCTGTCTAAAATGTGATTTTTTGAAAGCTGACATTGTTAGTTTTTATTTTGTGAGGGGTCACAGTCATCTGCTAGGCTGCTCTTTTTTGGGGGGTGGGGGGGATCATTCATACAAGCAATACGTGACCTCAATGTTTTCATAACTTAAAGCTTGTGTTACGGAACAAACTGTCCTGATTGTTACCGTACGTGTCTTCATCGAGAAGCGACACTCATGCACTCACTGAAAGGTTATATGTCATTAAAGTTTTAAATATTTTAAATTTGAAACCTGTGTGGTTATATATTTAAGTATATTTTTTAGGGCTGTGTATTGGCAAGAATTTGGCGATATGATACATATCATGACAGAGAGGTCACGATACATATTGCGATACTGTAAGCAAGGCGATATATTGCGATTTTTTTTCGTCCAAAAGTTCTATTAAATAAAAACCTCTTACAGTAAAAAAAAAAAAAAGAAAAACCAAAATTCTAATATTACA